GATATTTTGGTCTACAAGCTCCCTGGCCAGCATAGCCAATAGTGAGAGGACTTGTAGGCCATAATATCTGGAGGATCGTAAGTTGTCTCTTCTGTTCTAAGAGTAGATGGCAATAATTGATTTACTATCTTTCTTTAATATTAGAACTTTGAGTCACTCAGGGAAATTGGCAGTACTACTTCATGTAATACATCATAACTTGCATAGAATTCACTGCCATGAAATATGATGATGATCCCTAGCTTACATGAGTTTAAAAGGACTAGTCAAGAGAAGAGGTCACATAGTAATGATTAACTAGTCAACAGCTATTAATCATAACTTAAAAAGAACCTCCATGTTCAGATACACAGGCCAATAATACCAAATGATGGAATTGCAACACTGGGGAAGAGCTATTGCCTTTATATCTTGACTGTAGGTTTTGCAAAGGCATGACTGGCCACTGAGAAAGGATCCTAAATTAGATGGATAAAAAACAAAACACCTTGGCACTCTAAACATTCCAGCTGCTATGGTTCCTTCTCAAGATGTTTAGTTGTGACACGGCTTCTAGATATACTTCTATCCCACAAGTGTAGCTAAGGGAGTCTCCTGAGCAGATGACAATAAATAATCCCAGGGCAGTCAATGATCATACAGGACAATAATGATCAGTCACAGAATTTAACAGCTCATGTAGGTGTTTCCAAGTTTTCTCAGTACTAATCCTATTTGCACTCCTGTTCTAGCTACTGCATTTCTTGAACGTGACAAAGGAGATACAGGCATGCCCAGAATCAATGTTGTATTCTTTTTAGCATCAGGTTAAATTTATTTTCCAGGTATTTTAATTTTTTTAGCTGACTGACACAGTTTTTATTTCCATCAGTTTTAGTACATTTATGTCTATTGTAATAAAAACCTGACCTTTGTGTATCCTATCCTAAAATCTTCTTTTAGATGATGGTGTAGTCTGTATGTCTTTAAAGTAAATCAGTGTGTTTTTTCCTGATTGAGCAAGGTATTTCTTTATATTGTTATGCATGATATGCCTTTCCTTTGTTGGCAAAAGGCTTTATCACAAAAGGTTAGGAATATGAAACAGGGGGCCAAGAGTTTCATCATCCATGAAGAACATGCCTGGGAATATGCCTGCACTCAGATTTGCTTTGTGACATCACATCCTCCCCACTTATTAAGCTTCTTGAGATTTCATTTTACACAGGTTTCACATGAATACATATTCAAATTGTAAGGTTTGCTCATTTCCTCCAAGAAAAGTACTCAGTTTGGTCCAAGTCTGTCTAAACCCACTGTACCATCAAACAGCTGAGCAAAGAGCACCCAGAAGGCCAGGTACCTGAAGCAAAAGAGCCCCACTGTAACATCCAAGCAAATTAGGCAAGTAGACCAGGGGTCCAGGAGAAAATTACTCATGTCATTCTATGTGACATTTTAGTGAGATGGTTGAAATCGATGACAGGTGTCCATTACTGAAGGAACAAGAACATCCACAACCCAACATACTAGATGATCCTTAGCTAATAATATGTAGATTAATCAAATCTTAAGAATTAGGGAGCAATGTGTTAATAATTTACTGCACTAGCATTTGGTTCAGAGGTGAGATAAACATATAAACTGCTCAGTGCCAAGGAAGTTGCTCAGCTTATCCTAGTGAGCTCACATCAGGAAGTAACTGGAATCTTACCTTACTAGTCTCTTGCAATTGGCCTGCCATGGTTTGCCATCTGCTGTACAGTATCCCTGAGCCCACTTTGTCTTGTATAAGTTTTATATTCCCTGAGGATAACATTTGCTGTGCTCTGTGTTGCCAGTTCACAGTTCTCTCTATCATATAGCGTAAAGCATCTCCCTCAGGCAGTCTCACACGAATACGTTGCAAGGAGGCCAGTAAAGGTAGAATCTTTTCTAAAGGTGGTTTTTCAGATCTGTGGCACTGAGGACAGAGCCACACCCGAGGTTCTTGCAAAGTGCTGGGCACTGAAACACAGCTGGTATGGAAAACCCCTCTGCATAGCTCACACTGTATCATAGGTGCTGCTGGCTCTCTCTGACAGAGACAAACTTTAATCTCCATATCCTGTTCATTAGAGAAGATTTTCTCTTCATTTGTTGCTCTCAGAGTATGCAGGGCTTCCATCTCCTTTAAACGGGCTTCACCAAGTGCAGCCATCTGGAAGCAAATTATATGAAAACATTTTAATTCTTCAGAGAAAAAAAGTTTTTATTTATTTATTTATTTATTTATTAAAACATTTCTATGCCGCCCCTTGCCGAAGCCTCGGGGCGGCTCACAACAAGTTTCTTCAATTGTATATATCTCTAACTCTTCAAGGAAAGCTTGATTTCAGAAAGTAGACCAACAATTGTATTCACAGATACTCCTTTTGAAACTGATGTGCCTGTCCCCATCTCAACTCTCATGAAGTCAGATATTTTACATATATTTGTGAGAGAAAACAAACACACACACACACACACAGCTATACCAGACAAAAAAGTGTTACAACTGCACCTCCATACTAGAGGGAATACAAAAATGGAATAATCATGAAATAAATTAATCTGCTAAGCATATATTTACACACACACATACCGCAGCTACAGTTTCTTTACTCTCAGATAAAGCCCTTTCCAAATCACTCAAACTCTCCAATTTAGTGCTCTTCTTTTTTCCACTTGAGACAGGCTCTTTTAACTTCTTTGTTTTTCTTTTAAATCCCAATGTTCCAATATCACATCTTGGACATAACACCTGATGAAAAGTCAAAACAAACATAATTCGTTCTGGTATAATGCTTCCACAGGTAAATGTAAATTTCTAGAAAAGTAGCAATGTTAATCTGTTGTACTAAAAAAAAGAATAAACTGATTCTATAAGTTCTCACCTATAAAGCCCACACCATCACCATCACCACCACCAAAAATAAGGGGAGCAATACTTTTTAAAGTGCAAAACATTCTTGGAGGTTTGGGAGGATGTAGGTGGAACTTCTAAGTTTTCATCAGTGATCTGATAAACATGCCAGAAATAGAAGTTTGCACATCAATCTCTTTAAATCTTACAGCCACCAGCAGGACAGAAGTCAAACAAACAAACACTGCTTACCTCAAGAAGAGAAAAAGAAGAGCTCTCAGTCAAAAAAGTATTGCTTGCACATTCTTTCCAAGCTTGGACTTCAGCCACTAATGACTCTAGTCTTGGCAAATATTCTAAATGTACTGGAATAGAACGACTTCTTGAGACGAGTTCCACAAGTGTATCTAACACAGGCACACGTCCACCAGCCTAGTGGTGCAGAAACATTAAAGACAAATGCCTTAATGAAGAAAAATGCTATGAAATTGAAGATATACAAATAGATGAATTAAAAATTTTGTGCCAGATGCAAGTGGAGATCCTATCTGTTATAGCTGCAAAATCATCTGAACATAGATGCAATGTTTTTGTCACTAATATGTTCCTTGGTTCCTGCAAGGTTTGCATCTTAAACCCTAAAATATGGTACAGTAACTGAATTGTATTGTTGCAAGGCTCCCATAAGAGGGAAAACACAATTGCACAACCATTAGTAATTTTTACTAGTTGTTGAACACCAGAGACCCCTCTGGAACAAATGAAGTTAAAGTGAAAACAAACTAAGAATATTAATAGCAATGAATAGGTAAGTTTTTCCTACCTGCAAACCCTCTACTTCCTGCAGCCAATCTTTGGCTTTTTTAACAGCATCTTTTAGAGCTATGCCATTTGGAAGATAAGCAGGAATATCTTCTATCTCCTTCATTGCTGCTTCAAGATTACTTAATGACTGTCGTGGTCTTAAAATAAATAAAACATACCTAGTCAAAATGTGGTATCATACTGTTAATCAACAAATAGTGTGAAACTGCTATCTGCCAAAATTGAAAAATATATTGTAATGAACACATAAAAGTTGTCAGCATATGAATTTGAATTCTGGAACTCCAATTGATATATAACTCAGATTCTTGTATTTATTGCAAGTAGATCCTAATCTAGAAGCAAGCCTTCCTCAGTGCAATTAAGCCTTTGTAAGCTGTCCTGAGGCTTGGGCAAAGGACACAGTAAAAATGCTTTTTAATTAATTAATTAATTAATTTAGGGCAAGCCACTGAAGGAGTGGCTGGGATGTATCACTTCAGGCTAAACTCTGAAGATCACATGAATAAATTTTCTTCCATACAAATGAAAACAAAAGGTTATCAAGATAACCTTGCTGGCATACCATTTTTCTATCTGCAAGGAATAACCTTGTACAGAACATTAACTCTTTGGAGCCTTCCAACTCCACCCCACCCCGCAATCAGTTTATTCCAGAACTAAAAACTGGGCTGAATGCTCCCCCCCACCACCCCGAACGCAGATGATTTTGAAAGTTGCAAGTATGAAAATTCTGGATTTGATCTCCAACTGCAAATCATTAGAGCTCCTAGTGGGTACCCTCAGAAGACAAAAATTAAGAATGACAGTGCTAGTGTTGTACTTTACCACTTTCTTCAAAATGGCATACAGTGACAATGGTATTGGCAAGGTTGGATTAGAGATGGCATCCTAATGGCTTTTTGCATGGCTGTTGTTCCAAACATTAAGTCCCCAGATGTTGCTGGACTACAACACCAATCATTACTGGCAATTAGCTATGCTGATTGGGGGTGACAGAAGTTATAGTACACCATCATCTCCATACCATGCAGCTGCAGGTTCTTGTATTGTAACATGGAAGACATGTGAGCCGCCCCGAGGCTTCGGCAAGGGGCGGCATAGAAATGTTTTAATAAATAAATAAATAAATAAATTTTCTTAGAGGTAATTGCAGCAATTTCCAGGAAAAGGTTACTGAATTTTAACTGTCCTTTTACATATACCTGCTCTGTACATATGGTATATAAAATAACTTGAAACAGCTTGGCGTGAAACATTTTATCATTCAACTATTTCTCTTAACAGTTTTTCTTAATTTTATTTCTGACAGGTTCTGTTCAATAAAACTTAACAGGACTGCATTTAGGACTTCATAGATGGAAAATATGGCTACAAAATGTATGTATTATTCAACTTATATGTGTGTGTGTGTGTGTATTATTCAACTTATCCTGAATAAGTAACAGAATTTTTTGTTAATAAGAAATCATTCCCATTTGTAACTAACGTTTAAGTGCATGTAACTGCATCCTATTTCTTAATTCAAGTTCTCTCTAGTTCAGCTCCCACAGCAGCCCAGCCAGAAGTTTACAGAAACTCCCCAAGCAGGGCATGAGGGCATTAGCCCATTTCTATTGTTAGGGAACATCTAAACCTATTGAATGTCAATAACTGATAATCAGAGGTTTGCTGCCTCTGATGCTGGAGAATAGTGCCATAAGGATTTAGTAGCGACTGATAGCCTTAGCATCCATGAAATAACCTTACACAGTAATCCCTTTTAAAGTGTTCTGAGCTGGTGGCAACTACCACAACTTGTGACAATAAATTCTATGGTAATTATGCACTTTACTTCCTTTTTTCCATCCTGAATTTCTCACTATTTGTTTCACTGAATTAGCTTGGGTTCTGTCATTATGGAAGGGGAATAATTACTTGTATGTCTACTTTCTTCATGTCATGCATAATTTTACACTGCTCAATCATGTTTTTTTTTTGCCTAAGTAAACTACCAAAATATCGTAACCTTTCTTTTGTGGGGGCTGCTCCAGCTCTCTGACAATTTTGCACCTTTTGCGTTGTTTTCCCTACCTTTCTTTGTTGATCTTACTTTGTACGCTCTTTGGGAGCAGGTACTTGTCTATGTATGCCTATGAAAATATAAGGCAATGTGTACACTTGACTTAATTAAAACTTAATTCTACCACAACCACCATCCATATTTAGTAATAATGATTGCTTTAAAGTATCTTAACAAAAAGAATGAAGAAATAAATGATATACTGAAGTATTAAAAATGAAAAAATCAACTTTTTCTGTAATCAAAAGTATAATCTTATTTTGTTTTCTGAGCACATACTAGTATATACACCATCTTTTGCCTAATTTTTTGTGCAAGCTGAAAAATACATTTATTATCTGAAAACATTAAACAGTAACTGCATTTGTTTTGAAAGAAAAAGAGTCAGCTTCTACCTGGCTTTTATCAGGGTTCTAGCTTTGTCATCCCAGTGTTCAGATACTGTTAAGAGTTCTTGCAATCTAGCCATTGCTTTCTCAACTGCAGAATGAGGAGCTAATCCAACTCCAGAATCTATGAGTCTTCTCATATCATCCAGCGTGAGAGAATGTTGATCCAAGCAAACCTGCTGTACATCTTCTAGCCAACGTGCTTGTTCTAGGCGTATCCGTAATTCACCTAACTGAGGAAGATCAACATCAAAGTCAAAACTGACATCCAAGAGTTCCTGTAGTTCTGAAGCACTGGGAATTTCTTCAGAGAGAAGTTTTTGGCTATACTTCTGGAAGTCTTCCACACGATTAAGTAGATCCTGAAATTGAAACAGTAAAGTACATCAAAACCTGAAAACTCTCACACCAGAATTGAAGCTTTCTGCACCAGAAAACTCCCACACCAGAATTGAAGCTTTGTAACACATGCACAACCAGCAGCTGGCAACTCTATTAATTTTTATAACTGGGTTCACATGAATGACAACCCACTGTCAGTGATTTGCTGTGGTGGGTTGTTGTGTTGTGTGAATCTAGACTGATTCCTCCAGAGTGGTTTGTTTTGCAGCAACAATCCACCCTGCCAACCCATGGCTTGTTTTAGAGGTGGTTTGATCCACACTGAATGGTTGTGTCATCCAAACCCCAGCAACTCTCCCTATACTGATTGTGCAAAACAGCAAGTGAGCTACTCAGCAAGAGGAGCAGAACTCCCTTACTACTTTCACTGAACTCACCCAGGTCACTGCCAGTGACAGCCCCTGCACCAAGTGCCTAAACTGGCACTTTGTGGAGTGGCCATCCTTGGTTTGTTGTCCCCACTGCAATTGTGACTGCTTTTGCAGTTGCTCCAGCTTCCCCACACTGCAGTTTTTTCAGAAATTGTTTTTCTCAATCTCTGCAGGGACAGCCTGTGACAACCCCTCCAAAGTGCCCATGTGGCAAACTGAAGCAGCAATTCCTGTTTACCATCTTCTTTTGTGTTCTGAAGCATACACAATGAAATATACGCAATGCTTTCACTAACGTTTTAAAAGAAATTCAGGGGCAATCAGGATTTGGAGCTGTGCAAATGCACAACTTGAAGCACTTAAGACTTGAAGCCTTGCCTGGTCAATATCTTGGTAAGTGCCTGTTGCCAAAGCAGCAGCAAGCAACTATGGGCATTGACAAAGCTGGACTTCAATCATATTGCTTTGTTTCACTTGACAGCTTTTAAACAGTGAGCTGTCAAGCACAAAGCAAAGGTTCGAGAAGATACTTACTTGTGAAATCACCCATTTTGCAGAAGGATCCTCTTAAGTTTTAATATGAAGCTGAATTATTTTCACTGTCCTTCATCTTTTCCTCCCTAGATGCTTAGAAAAGTGCAGCCTACTCCATTTATGGCAGCTGTAAGGGTTTCTCTTAAAACTGGGTTTTTGACAAGGCTAAACAGGATCTTTTGACAAGGCGTGGGTGTATATTCTTACCATTGTGCTAGGCTTAACTGAACTCAAATTTATACATAAACAAAAGAAGAAATATTCTCATTGTATTTGATGCCAAAGTGCAGGGAGGTGCCAAAGTGCACTTCTAGCTGGCCAACCTGATGTGGCCCAAGGTGCTCCTGCCTGCATGCTTTTTCAAAACCTTCAATCAATGCACAGAACTAAGGCCTGTATTTTAATTTATCAGCACCAATACTAACTATCAGTAACATAAGTACAGAAACCTTTTCATACATGTTAGTCTGAAATTCTATTAATGCTTCTAGGATGTATATTCTAGTGAATTAACTTTTGAGGAAATACATCTAGGATTAGATTGTTTTCTCACTTTTTATAGGTATTTGAGTTGTATCCCACTTTTTTCTTTTAAAGAACTCAAAGTGGCTTAAGATCATTCTTCTCCTGTTCTCCATCTTATCCCCACAATAACAACCCTGTGAGGTAGGTTTGTGACTGGCCCAAAGTCACCCAGATGGCTCTATGGCTGAGCAGGAACTACAACCCCAATCCCCTGAGTCCCAGTCCTGCACTGTTAACCATTACACCACAGTTATGAGCAATTTTCTCACCAAACAGAACCACAGTGACATCCATTTCTCTATCCAAATTCTTTAATATTTGGAAATCTAAAAAGCTCTTTTTATCGAAAAACAATATCAACAACAACAACAAACAACCCTTCCACCTCCAAGTGCTCTGAATTACCTTCAGCAACGTTGTTTGACTGAGGACACATGGCAAAGCATAGAGCTGTCTAACAAATAACCGGAGTTCATTTACAGTAAGCTGATTTTGAGATTTTCCTCCTCCAGACCGATATCTGTAATTACACAGACATGCTCATATACTACTAAAATTTTTACAATCCCAAATTTCAATTATTTGTATAATCTGTAGTAAACTGAAAGAATGTATTTGAGGGTTTTCTCTGCCCTTCAATAAGCTAGCATGGATAACTTTTGTCAGTACTTTTCTAACTCTTATTTAACCTTCACATAAATGACCAAATAAAACCTTATCACACTCAAACCAGCTGTTAAAGAATGTCTAGCAAGGCCAGCTCCAGGTTGTTACAGACTGTGGACATCAGGCTGTCTGTGGTCAGCTTCATCACCTCCATTGTGATGGCCAGGAAATGTGAAATAGAAATGGGAGATGCTAGCAGTGGCTTCCGTGAAGCCACAGTGGAAATGACTCCCTTGTAATTCCTTTTAGTGACCTGAAGGAAAAAGGCAGCATCCAGACCAAAAATAAAATAAAATACAAGGCCAAATCCTACAAGGTGCTGAAGCGTAAAAACATCAAAATGGCTCTGTTTGACAAAGTTTAAAATGAATCCTACTGAGGAAGCCGAAGTACACCTCAGCATAACAACAGACAAAGGCTTATGCCCCACAACAGAAAGAACAGCTCTAACAGTGCCTAGTAATAAGTCTTCCAAAAATGTAGGAAAAAAGCCAGACTATAAAGCATGTGCACTAATGCATATGGGAAACAAGCTTAGTAGTCCTATAGAGAGCATCTGGATTGATATAAATGGAGCAAGGAATAAAAAGAACATGATGGTTGGAGTAAATTACTGACCATCCAGTCAAGGAGAAGATGAGGATGAAAAGCAAATTGCAAATGTTTCAAGAAGGCATAGTGTAGTAGTTATGGGAGACCTCCAATTTCCCTGTTATCTGTTAAGAGACAAATTTTTATTTTGCCAAACATGGTCCCTCCAAGAAATTTCTAAAACATATTGCTGAAAACTTTCCCCTACAGAAAATAGAAAAGGGAACTAGAAGAATGGCTATCCTTGACTTAATTCTAACCAACAGTGAAGACCTAATGGACAAAGGGCAGTTATAGGAACTCTAGAGAAAAGTGACTGTGCCGTATCTGGATTTTTGATTCTTAAGAAGACAAGAATGAGGAGAGATATGATAGTACTTTTCAAGTACTTGGAAAGTTGTCACATAGAGGGAGGCCAGGAACTATTCTCAATCATTCCAAAGTGCTGGATCAGACCAAGGACCTATCCAGTCTAAGCAGCCTGTTTTTCATAATGGCTAACCAAATGACAATGAGAAGCCCACAAACAAGATAGCAGCACAACAGCTCTCTCTGACTGTTGTTCCTTAATTTTATTCTTCAACTCAGACAACAAAAGTATCTAAGTCCTATACCAATATCAGTGTTAGAGAAAATGCGTACTCCTTCAACCAGCTCATCTATCAATAAAGCAATGGAAGGAGGTAATATGGAACAGAGCATAGAGGCCTTCAGTGTGGAGAAACAGCAATCCATGGTCTCAAGCACCTTCTCCCAAAGAAGAGCTTGCAAGCATGAAGCTTTTCTTTCTTCAGCATTCCCATGTAAAGGCCTAACAGCAGTGGCATGAGTCCATAACCT